TACAAGGCACTAAGGACATTTAAGAAACATCCTTAGTGAATGATCTCTTACACTATAAGGCGGGTTAGGAGAATATCTGGGTGACAGTAAGTCACAGCATCCCACTTACCTGCTTTTTCAGGGACTGCTGATGCCACCACGAGGAGTAGTTCCAAGGCAGACACTTCCAGAGGGATAAGGCTGCATCTCTTCCTGGTTCTCCTCTCCCTAAACTCTTCTGCTTTGCTTCTTTCTTCTGTCCTTTACCTTTCCCATGCTCTCTCAGATGCTTGGGTCAAGCGAGAGAAAAAGTAAGGTAAAAGGGCTAAGCTACTGTTTTGGCCACTAATTGTGAACTGTTAAATCACTACTAGAGATAAGAACACACAAACTTTTAAAAAGGAATAACTAAAACACTTTAGAAGTTAGCGCCGCAGCTAAAAAGCCTATGTGAAGGTTTGCCACGCAATGCAAATCCAAACCAGTCTAATAGAACTACTTGTATCCAAGTATCTGAGTATGTTTGGCTGCTTCTGAGAATGTCTAAAGCCAGAGCTAGAAAAGGATTTTCCAGGTTTATAAACTTTACTCATTGGTGGCCCAATAAAGAATGGCAGAACTCAAACATGATGACAGGATGTCACTGCCATGTTATCTGTCCCAGAACGAGACCAACAGGGAGTTTTCCTTTCCACCTAGTCTCTTCAGGAAAATCCATCCATAGTGACAAATCAGCTACCCACGTTACTCCTCAAAGAAGAGGAGAGTTCTGTGGCAGTTGCCTAAATTTCTCAAACTATTTATCCATTTCCAGAACTTTTTATGCCCAAAGTATAGGAGGAAAAGTAGTTGTAAGTCACTTCTGCTTAGAGGAGGGAAGCAGGAATTTCGGCTCTTGTACGTGAGCAGTGGAGCACATGAGCTCCTAGCTACCTGCAAAAAGACACAATGTGATAATGCATATATGTGTGCATTTCCTAACCTCTCTTTTACAAACTTTGGTTCATGCTATATTTCATTTATGCCCGAAGATACATTGCAACTACACAGTCTATAACTACAGTGTTCAGAACTCAGAAACGGTATAGATGGAGTTTTACAATTTACAACTTTGCTGGAAATGCCTTCTCATAATTTGAGCAGTGTTCACATGCCATTTCCATAGCATAGCTATATTATTTCATAATAAAATAAAAGCTTCTGCTGAAGTACATAAAAATCGTTGGCTTTACACATTGTAGTAAAGTTAAATTTATCTAGATTGCATAAAATTGGGAATCCAATGATGGATTCAACTTGCATTTCTTTATTCTCACTGGCATTCCTCCTATCCTCTTTATGAAACCCCTCTTAACCTAGAAGAAGCTAGATTACAGACCTAGCTGTTCAGACCAAGAGCGGTTTGGATGTATGAGAATCCTGACAACATAACATATCTTCTCTTACAACATATTCAAAGTATGGAGTACCTAAACATCAATCGTGTGGGACAGCACAGTTCTACATTATGTCACTGAAAGGACAAGTCCTGGCAAGAACAGGAAAGGATCCTACTGTGTTCCTCGCTCTTGCAGAGATCTCCTGGGAAGAGCAGCCACAAGAAGTCCCTCTCACTAAGGCTATGTGAGCAATGGGAAAGTCATTTTGAGTAAATCAGATGGTGACCTGCTGTTTAGGGAAAAGGAATGGAATAAAGACCTTCAGTCCCATCTCTGTTTGCCACTGACTTCTTTCAAAACTTGTATTATTTAATCCATTCGGATCATTTAAAGTTTATGTTACAATTGCAGTTTTTTTTTTTTTTTTTTTTTTTTTTTTTTTTTTTTTTTTTTTTTTTTTTTTTTTTTGTCTTCATTGTTTCTACTCATGAGTATGATCAGGAGGATAACTAATTAACTCTTTCTGCACTGTAGGACTGATTAACAATCCATATAGCTGATGTCGCTTTTCGTCCATCCAAACACAGTCAACAGGAAGAGTGACTTTGTCTGAAGACATTATTTAGGCTATCTCATCGGATGGTTTTGCCTGAAAGATTTCAGAGGACAACAGGCTCAACCCAATAACTTTTCCCTACCATGAAACATCTAACTGACCATGTCAACCAATCTCCTCACCAAGTTGTGATTCCTAGAGGGGATGAAAAAATCCCCAACTTGAACACAACCAGACAAATGCCAGCGTGCTAGCAGCATTTTGCTAGGCTAAGAGCAGCATTTAGATCAGAAAGAGAGGAAAACTGCCTGGAAACTATTTTCCAGGCTAAAATGCGGAAGGAGACCAGGATGACAATAGGATCTCTGGAAGAGGGAGCACTCTTTGGTTAAGCTGTTCATAGCTGAGCCATACACAGTCCTTTCCTTGCAATACTAAATACAGAATCTATTCACCTTACTCAGTTCTCTGTGCTTACCAGGTAGTAGTAACCATGACTATTATCAAGGGAAAAGTGCAACTGAGAAAACCTCAAGGTTCGAATCCACGGGATCCCGAAAGCCGTGGAGGCTTCATGCACCTCTCAATACAGCTGCTGTGACCAGTGTTCTCCAGTCTTCCCTTTCCCCTGACCCGTCCTACAGTGCTGTGTAATGAAAGCAACCAAGGCAGTCAGCACCAGGGTAAGGCTCAGTTTGGAAAAAAAGTATCAAAACGGACCAAAACCCACTTCTTCTGAAACACTGTATCACCTCTGCCACTCCACATTTAAGATAAATTGCTACAAAAGCCATATTATGGTATCTACATGTTCAGCCCTTCCCCTTACTTCCCACTGTGTTCCTAAACAGAGTGAACAGGAGAGTTGTTAATAAACAAAAACCAACCCGAGGGAAGAGTTACAACTAGCAGTTGTCTTTAAGGGAGGAATTAGCATGTCCACAAAAACAGAGTCCACAGCAACAAACTAAGTACTCTCAGCTTGGCTCCTCCTGCTGGACTTTCTACCATGTTCTGACCTTACCAGCATCACCTGCTGGATGGACAAGATCCTGAGATGTGGCCTGCGTTTTTCTTTTCTTCCCCCCTCTTCCATTTACTGCCAGGCTCCAAAAAAAATCCTCATCCATAATTTATTAAGTCACTAGGCCTGGTTCCCATTTTTGTCTGTTTAATACCTTATATAACTATATCACTTTGGGGGACAATTTGTTTTATTTTTTTCTGTTAGCATGTTCCTTGTTGCAAACAGCTACAGAGGCACTGCCCACTGATGCAGTTTGTTCCAAACATATATCAATATGCATATATTGGCTCACGTTCACAGTGCTTGAAAACTGAGAGCGCTTTTAAATGAGCGAATTCCATTCACAGTGTAAGGACTTTTCTCATTTTAAATATATTGACACCATTTGTGTATTTTACTGCGCCATTCCGAACTCATCCTTGCTCTGAAGCCCTGGAAGTTTGCAGACTGCGTTTTCCCTTGCATTCCTGCAAGCAGATAGCTGGGCAGTTAACCACCTTCTCCCTGGAGTGAGATGCATCCATCTTCTGTATTGGAAGCTGACAACTTAATAGTGTTTTCTACCATGTGCACGCTGACCTGTATTTTGCATTGCTTGTAATGGTGCCTTTTCAGAACAGCAATTTTTCTCCTGTCTTAGCAGAGCATGCATAGTTCATAAGAGCAAGCCTAGATGCCAGCTTTGATGTTGCAAAGGCCAGGTGTACTTTAGTTATGCAGGAAAGGAAGGCACTTTTTTAAGATCGTGCTGGACAAACGCATCAATCTCCATCCTCCTTTAAGCGGCCGAACAGCCACCAGAGCTTTGCTCAGGTTTTTAATAGCTGCCTCCTCTGAGTTCCTCTGGCTTTAAAAAGAAAACTCCTGCTTCCCTGTCCCGGCACTTGTACCAAATGGCTACGGCCTTCGCTCAGCGCAGGGAAGGCAGCGGGGGAGAGTTTACGAACTGTAATTACCAGCTTTCCCACTCCATCCCTTCCCTAAAAGAAGGACCGTTCATCATCCTCTTTTGTGCTCCCGTCTCCTTAAAAGGCCTCCTCGGCTGTATCCCAGTGCATCCAGCTGCAGGAGGCTCTCCCCAAGCCGGAGCCCGGGATACCTAGATGGATTTCAAAGGGAACATCGCGCCGCTCGCCTGCCTTATTTGGGAAACTGAACTCGGCCAGGCTTGGCACGACCTCCACAGCCAGCCAGGCTTTCGTAAACCTGGAGCTCTGACAGACACAGAACGAGAGGAGACCTCATGTTATGGATTCCTCGCTTCACAAGCTCAGGGAGGGCAGGCTCGCAGTCAAAAACAACCTGGAACAGACGGGCAAGGAGCGCGCGGAAGAGCTTAGCGGGCGCTGAAGCTTCGGGAAGAGGGGAAAAGCAGCCCTTGGAGCGAGCCGCACGGCGTGGAAGTCCCACAGAAGTGAACACACAACACGCACACGGGAATTCCCAGGGTACAGGAAGCCCCCTACAACACCCTCACAACACCCTCACACACCACACACAACACCCTCACACACCCCCTCAGCTCCCCGCCCCCCTCCCCCCTCAACGGCCTCTCGGCCTGCGCACAACCCCGGCAGGGGGCTCGGCGCGGGGCGGGGGGGCACCCGGGGAGGCGGCGCGCGCCCATTGGCCACCAGCCTCATGCATATTCAAACCTCGCCGGGCCCGCCCCCGTGCCGGGCGGCCTATGGCGGCGCAGGCGGAGCGGGCGCGGCCCCGCCCGCCGGTGCCTGCGGGAGTGGGAATAAAGACAGATAGCGGCGGGCGGCGCGGCGCGGCGGGGCGGGCGGCGCGAAAACTTTCCCGCGAAGTTGCGGGCGGCGGCGGCGATGCCCGGGCTGCGCGGCGCG